TTTCTACTGTGCTCTAGAGGCCTAGTGGTGAGCTCCATCAAGTGTCAGGAAGGGTTCTTGTTCGATAACTCCACCAAAGTGTGCAGGCCACGAGGCCAGGTACAGTGTGACATCGGTTCTTCAAGGATAAATCCAAACGTTGGAGGTGAGTATGTAACAATAATAATAATGATAATAAACAACATTTGTAAGGCGCATACCCCGCTCAACCGCAAGCTCTATTCCCTTTAAACCATTTTATTACCCCAGCAGACCATAGACCCCGGGGCAGTGCCACTGACTAAAGTATCTTTAGGCCATTCCCAAAGGGGGGATATTTCTCGTTCATGCACAATAGAATTGTAAATGGGCTGATTCATCATGTCACGCTCATAACTGTGCCTGATCTACAACAGGGAACTGCTGCTTTATCTTTCCTAATCCTTACTATTGTCATTTTCCTCTACTCCTTTTGTACGTTTGTCACACTCTTGTGGCCTGTTATTTCCGGGGTGCCTTGATAGTCGAAGCAGACTGTGTGCTGTTGAAGCTAGAGAGGTGAGCAGAGTAAGTCTGATTCCCTGTAAAGACTTCTCTGTTGACATCCGCCCCTTGGCCCTCATATGACCTTATGCAATTTCGAGCGCAGTAAAACCCTCTACTAAAACCAAACTAAAACACTACATCACTGTAGATCTATCCATATTGCTTGAAATGTACAAGACGTGGGTGGGGAGGTGGGGAGGTGGGATGGGCCGGGAGGGAGCAAATCGGGGAAAAGCATTTGATCTAGACCTAGGCCTAGGTAGAGACTAATGTGTGAAGTATTGTCAAGCAATCACTGAGTGGATGTACCTTGCGTCTCGTGTAGCCAATTGAGTACTGGGTAGCTCTGATGGCCAGTTCATTGTCGGTCCAACGGGGCAAGTTTACGCTAATAATAATTTTTTAAAATTTTAATTAAAAATTTTTAAAAATTAAATAATAATAATAATGCACTTATATAGAGCATATCCATGCTCAAGAGCATGCTCTATGCGCTTTACAACTACTATTACCCCAGCAGACCCTCTGAGAACACTCAGAAACATTCTCGGCTTCCGTGGAAGCATACAGTGCAAACTGAGGATGTCATGCGCTCAAACACTATCAAGCTGACAAGATAGATCACTGTCTATAAATATAGTTTAAGAAGAACCGTACAACTGAAACTGTTGATGGATAGCGGTGTAAAGGCGCAAATACTATGTCTCCAGAGTCGTGCGATGTGTACTCTGGGAAAACCCAAGACCCAAGTCGATGTGACACGTTTCTACTGTGCTCTAGAGGCCTAGTGGTGAGCTCTACCAAGTGTCAGGAAGGGTTCTTGTTCGATAACTCCACCAAAGTGTGCAGGCCACGAGACCAAGTACAGTGTGACATCGGTTCTTCCAGGACAAATGGCTCCACAGTCGGAGGTGAGTATGTAACAATAATAATAATAATGATAATAAACAACATAATTTGTAAAGCGCATACCCCCGCTCAACAGCAAGCTCTATGCGCTTTAAACCATTTTATTACTCCAGCAAACCACAGACACTCAAAAACCTTCTCAGCTTTCCAGGGAGCATGGAGTGCAAGCAGCTATAATTAAATGCTCAAACACTTACAAACTGACAAGATCGTTCGCTTTCTATAGATGGGTACCCATTCCCACCTTGGTGAAGTGAGGAAAACACGTGTAAAGTGCCTTTCCCAAGGACACAACATCGGGCACCTCATGTGATTCGAACCCACAACCTTAGGATTGCTAGTCCGAGAGAATATCCACTCATGATAGATAGCAAACGATTTTCTCTCTCTCTCTTTCTCTCTTTCTCTCTCTCTCTCTCTCTCTCTCTCTCTCTCGCTCTCTCAATCTATCTATCTATCTATCTATCTATCTATCTATCTATCTATCTATCTATCTATCTATCTATCTATCTATCTATCTATCTTTTCTCACGCTCTGTTTTCCTTCCTCCCATTCTCCCTTTCCCCTTTTCCATTCCTATCCTCTCTCTCTCTCTCTCTCTCTCTCTCTCTCTCTCTCTCTCTCTCTCTCTCTCTCTGTCTCTCTCTCTCTCTCAGTCTCTCTCTCTCTTTCGCTCTCTCTCTTTCACTCTCTCTCTGTCTCTGTCTCTCTCTCTCTCTCTCTCTCTCTCTCTCTCTCTCATTCCATCTTTCCATCTCTCCAGAGTCGTGCGATGTGTTCTCTATCTCTTTCTCTCTCTCTCATTCTCTCTCTCTCTCTCTCGCTCGCTCTCTCTCTCTATCTATCTATCTATCTATCTATCTATCTATCTATCTATCTATCTTTTCTCACGCTCTGTTTTCCTTCCTCCCATTCTCCCTTTCCCCTTTTCCATTCCTATCCTCTCTCTCTCTCTCTCTCTCTCTCTCTCTCTCTCTCTCTCTCTCTCTCTCTCTCTCTCTCTTTCTTTCTCTCTCTCTCAGTCTCTCTCTCTTTCACTCTCTCTTTCACTCTCTCTCTCTCACTCTCTCTGTCTCTCTCTCTCTCTCTCTCTCTCTCTCTCTCTCTCTCATTCCATCTTTCCATCTCTCCAGATTCGTGCGATGTGTACTCTGGGAAAACCCAAGACCCAAGTCGATGTGACACATTTCTACTGTGCTCTAGAGGCCTAGTGGTGAGCTCCATCAAGTGTCAGGAAGGGTTCTTGTTCGATAACTCCACCAAAGTGTGCAGGCCACGAGGCCAGGTACAGTGTGACATCGGTTCTTCAAGGATAAATCCAAACGTTGGAGGTGAGTATGTAACAATAATAATAATGATAATAAACAACATTTGTAAGGCGCATACCCCGCTCAACCGCAAGCTCTATTCCCTTTAAACCATTTTATTACCCCAGCAGACCATAGACCCCGGGGCAGTGCCACTGACTAAAGTATCTTTAGGCCATTCCCAAAGGGGGGATATTTCTCGTTCATGCACAATAGAATTGTAAATGGGCTGATTCATCATGTCACGCTCATAACTGTGCCTGATCTACAACAGGGAACTGCTGCTTTATCTTTCCTAATCCTTACTATTGTCATTTTCCTCTACTCCTTTTGTACGTTTGTCACACTCTTGTGGCCTGTTATTTCCGGGGTGCCTTGATAGTCGAAGCAGACTGTGTGCTGTTGAAGCTAGAGAGGTGAGCAGAGTAAGTCTGATTCCCTGTAAAGACTTCTCTGTTGACATCCGCCCCTTGGCCCTCATATGACCTTATGCAATTTCGAGCGCAGTAAAACCCTCTACTAAAACCAAACTAAAACACTACATCACTGTAGATCTATCCATATTGCTTGAAATGTACAAGACGTGGGTGGGGAGGTGGGGAGGTGGGATGGGCCGGGAGGGAGCAAATCGGGGAAAAGCATTTGATCTAGACCTAGGCCTAGGTAGAGACTAATGTGTGAAGTATTGTCAAGCAATCACTGAGTGGATGTACCTTGCGTCTCGTGTAGCCAATTGAGTACTGGGTAGCTCTGATGGCCAGTTCATTGTCGGTCCAACGGGGCAAGTTTACGCTAATAATAATTTTTTAAAATTTTAATTAAAAATTTTTAAAAATTAAATAATAATAATAATGCACTTATATAGAGCATATCCATGCTCAAGAGCATGCTCTATGCGCTTTACAACTACTATTACCCCAGCAGACCCTCTGAGAACACTCAGAAACATTCTCGGCTTCCGTGGAAGCATACAGTGCAAACTGAGGATGTCATGCGCTCAAACACTATCAAGCTGACAAGATAGATCACTGTCTATAAATATAGTTTAAGAAGAACCGTACAACTGAAACTGTTGATGGATAGCGGTGTAAAGGCGCAAATACTATCTCTCCAGAGTCGTGCGATGTGTACTCCGGGAAAACCCAAGACCCAAGTCGATGTGACACGTTTCTACTGTGCTCTAGAGGCCTAGTGGTGAGCTCCATCAAGTGTCAGGAAGGGTTCTTGTTCGATAACTCCACCAAAGTGTGCAGGCCACGAGACCAAGTACAGTGTGACATCGGTTCTTCCAGGACAAATGGCTCCACAGCTGGGGGTAAGGGAAATAGATAGATGGACTGCTAGATAGCAAACGATTTTCTCTCTATAGATAGATAGATAGATAGATAGATAGATAGATAGATAGATAGATAGATAGATAGATAGCACTTAGTGCACGTAATAACACATTATATTTGATTTTTAAGAAGTTGTTCAGTTTTGCATGTTATCTAATTTTGGTTAAAATTTTAACAACTTTATATTTTTTTCAAAAGAAATTGATTCACTAATTTCCTTTGTGTTGATAAATATGACGCCCTTCGGATTAATTTCATTTGTTTGAAGTTTTGTTGAAATTTATCCAAAGATGACCAAATCATTGTCTTTTACATGGGTCATTTTATAGACGCCCGGTATTAATATTGTGCTGTTGCGGCAATTCCACTTCCATCTTCCCTAGTCTCTCGTCACGTGCAATCTCATGGACATAGTGTGATGATTGTCTTGATTAAAAGATGCAAAATAATATCCTTGTGATAGCAAATTCACTGCATGCGAGAGGAAATATGTCCTCAAAACCCTTAACATCAGAAGACGAGACAGGCAGGGAAATTAAGAAATAAAAGCAACTATTGGCACTGAGTCAAGTCTGCTTTTCATAGAAAAACAGAGAATGTCACCTAGCTAGCCAGCCAACCCCTAGAGCCTATAAAACCAAGCACTCAGGCTATAAAGTAAGAGGAAGGCTTCGCAAAAGTGGCCTAAGGAAGTCAGAAAAACCCTCAGAAATAATGATATCCTAATTAAAAGAGCTGTGAAACTGGTCAATCATAAAAAACGGTATCTACCCTCGACACTTTACGGCAAAAGAGAATGGAAAAGTAAAATCAGAAAGTAAATTTATAACGTTCAGTGTCATCTGTAACCCCCACCCCCCACCCCCCACCCCCAGAACCATGCGATGTACAGTACGGGTTCACCCGAGACCCAAGTCGATGTGACACGTATCGACTGTGCTCTAATGGCGTAGTGATGAGCTCTGCCAGGTGTCAGGACGGCTTCTTGTTCGATAACTCCACCAAACGGTGCAAGGAACCTGGCCAAGTACAGTGTGACACCGGTTCTTCTTCCGGGAAAACGGGCTCAACTGTCGGGCGTAAGGGATAGATAGATAGATAGATAGATAGATAGATAGATTGATAGATAGATAGATAGATAGATAGACAATTTTCTCTATGTATTTTTCTCCCCTTCTCTTTTCTCTTTCTCTCTCTCTCTCTCTCTCTCTCTCTCTCTCTCTCTCTCTCTCTCTCTCTGTGTGTGTGTGTGTGTATATACACAGCCAAACCCCATTAAACCGCCTTCCTTGGAACGAGTTGCCGGCTGTTCAGCGGGGCTTTTGATGCATCGGGATAACCCCTGTTGCTATAATAGTCTTTGGTGATTTTGTGAAAGTATTGTAAAAGCGTTTGGGTTAAATTCAAATTCATGTTACCGAAGAGTGATGATGATGATGATGATGATGATGATGATAATAATAATAATAAAGTTTGTTGTGTAGCGGTTAGGTTAATCGTCATGCACGCAGGAGACCCAGGTTCGATTCCCGTGTGAAGATAATA